TGTTTACACTGAGCTATGGAGCTAAAGTGTGGTGGGGTCCTCCTCTTCCTCTAGCATGTAGCACCCACTGGTTGTGGGTTTGCCGAACTAAAATTACAGGACAATCCTATTTTACTGTGCAGCTGCACAGCCAGAGTGAAGGTTTACTGAGTATATTCAGTGGCCATGTGTGTGCTTGCATGGCCACAGCTGGATTACAAACTATGTAACTGTCATTTCTCCATTTAGGCATGTAAAGTGAAAGTGGGCTTTGGGCTCGTGTCTCCCCTTAAGATATGGTATACTACACACACACACGATATACATAATACTATACACACTACACATAGTAGACTATATATATATAAGGATGCACACGTGTGTGCACATGTGTGTAGGCATGCATGCACATGTATTTTTAAATTTCTACCTTATTTTTAGTAGTGGATAATAATAGCAGTAAGTCCAAGAAGCACCAATCAAAAGTTGGAACCTTGTTGTCCAAGGCAACACACAATTAAATATTACAGGGACAGTCTGAAAAGCTAACATCCTGATCCTACAATTGCTGCATATTCTGACCTAGATCTGACCTGGTTCCCTTATTTACTTACATTTGAACACATGAGCAATTTTATTGACATCAACTAAGCATACAAGGAAAAAGTCATCACATATAGTCCTTATATTTAATAAGAAAACATATGAAAGGAAACTAAAGTAAGTACAGCTCTGTTGAACTGAACCAGTATAAACATCATTATAAACTTTTTCTGAGGAAGACAAGATTTCTGTTTATCATTTTATGCTTCACTGTGAAACTATATTATTCTTTTGTATTATAAATAACTCTCTCAAACTCCCAGTGCTTATTTCTTTTTGTTGCTTGGTATTTACGACCCCAATCCCCTTCAAAATATATGCTGGACACATTTCATCCTTACCCAGCTAAGTAGCACTTATACAGCTGCATAAGTGCAATTCCTGGCACTTAAGCAGCATTCCAGTTCTATTTCCATCTGGGGCACAGCAGGATCACCCAGGTATGTGCATAACTGCCAGAAGTAAAATGCTGAAGTCAGGAGGAGGAGGAAAAGAGTGGTCAGTGAGATGGCTGCTGCCCTGGGAGGGAAGGGGTCCTTGCTCCCAATTGCCTGTCCTTATTTTGTATTAAATATTCATTACATAAAAGCAGTGAGGTAGCTTCCATCTCCAAGGCGAAGGTAAGAATGCTGGGACAGCTTCCTACCCCAGTAGGAGCCATCCTGCCTCTCCAGACCTCCCTTGCCATTCCCCAAGGCTGCCCTGTGGAGCAGGTTCTAGAGCAGTGCTTCTCAAACTATCTTTTGTGGCGGACCGGCAATTTTTTTTCCAGTGGGCCAGGGACAGGTACCCAGTTCAGCCGGTGGCAGCAACTGCATGCAACAGCGCTGCACAAATGCGCGACTGGCTGTTTCTTTCTCTTGCCTCACCTTGCACAACGTGATGTCACCTGGAGTGCTGGAACGTACGAACTGTGGCACTATGACATACCAATGTTATGCTTCTGAAAATATATTTCTTTCTTTCCTGGCAACTTGCTGCGGACCGGCGACCGGTGGCTCACGGACTGACACTGGTCCACAGACCACCACTTTGAGAAGCACTGCTCTAGAGGAGTCTGAGAAAAGGCTCTGAGCAACGTCCAGCCCAGGGCTGTCCACATTCTCAGTCGCTGCACACTCCTTGGGCCACACTAGCAGGGGCTGCACAAGTAGGATCCATTAGCCCCAGAGGCTCCATGCTCCCCTCTGCGCTGCACTGTGTACGCAGGTGCCCCTGCCACAGCATCATGTGTAGGGTGCTTCCCTTCTGCACCATATGCCTGTTCCAGCTCCACTGCTGCACAGTGAGCCCAGTGCTTTCATGTTGCATCCTATGCCCTGCCACACCAGAGCACCAGGCATCCTTCCTCTCTGGCTGTACTGTGCACCCCATCTCACCCTTAGCTCCCCAGCTGCAAGCTCCCCTGCTGCACCACGCCACTCAGACATCCTGGGCTGCGCTGTGATGCACTCCTCCTTGGGGCAGGGGCAGAAAGCGGAAGCTGGAAGTTGGGACACTGGAAGAGGGCAAGCCTGGAGCCCCAGGCTGCTGCTGCAGCCAGAAAAAAGGGGGATAGCAGCAGCAGGATAGGAACCTGGAGGCTACAATTTAACTTTGTGGGCTGCATGCAACATAGGGGCCACCAGATGGACAGCCCTAGTCTAGCTGCTGGCCTAGTGGTTCACTTCACTTGAATGTGGGAGATGCAGTTTCACAGTAGCATAACTAGGGGATGGCAAGCAGGGCACTAGCCCTGGACAGTGACTTAGGGAGGCGCCAGTTGTCCCCCTCCCTCAGAAGTCTTTGCCACGGCAGGCACACCCAGCCATGGGAACAGGCCAGGCACAGCTTGGAAGCCATGCCCTATCCCAGTAGAGTAACTAGAGGAGGAGGGGGTGAAACGATGCCCTGCTCCAGGAGGCTCTGCCATGGGAGGTACAGACCTGTCCTCAAGTGTGAGGAGTGAACAGGTCAGCAGAAGCAGGCCTGGGGAGTCCACACTGCTGCCTGTCTCCCAGTGGCAGCAGGCAGAGCCCATGCTGCTGCAGGAAAAGCAGTAGTAGCTGCTGCTCAAATGCAGAGAGCCCTGGCAGGTAAGGCTCCTCTCCCCACCTCTTCCAATGGTCAGTATAATTCTCCCTAAACACTGCCCTGCCCAGGTGCTGAAAGAGCTTGCTATGCACCTCTGCAGGTTTAACCCTGCTCTGAGGAAGGGACCCCTAAAAACCTGGGTTGGCAACTCCCTAGGTAAGTGTCCTGACTACTGGGCTAGAGGGTGGGACTGCCTTTCTCTTCCTCTGGTGTCAAAGACCTATTCCTTGTGCTTTTTCCTGCCCCTAAGACTTTAGGACTTGCACAATATTACATGTATGCCTGGGTGATTCTATGCTTCCCTAAAGCCTATGGGTGCCTGTAGGCTGAGAGACCTACAGGTGCCCAAGTGCTGGGAGGCTGCTCTGATTAATCGAGTCTGATGGAGTGTGGTAATTGTCACACTCCAGTAACGTCCCGCATCTCATGCATTCGTGTCCCCATGCTTCAAAATGGTGGCAGGGATGCTTGAACTAAAGCTTGTTGAATGAATTTGAGTTCAACACCCCCACCACCATTTCGAACCATGGGGACACTGATATCCAAGACACTGTGGTGCTTTAATTTAGCTCTTGGAGCAGCTCTAATTAAAGTGCCCCCCCATACTCCCAGAGCACGTGTAAAAGTGCCCTATGTGATCAGACTGCAGCTGCCTGAGCACACTCAGTACGGAAGTGCAGAACCAGTCTAACTACACACATACAAACAGAATATAAACTGTGGCAGCTTTCTCTATGATATTAAGTGGTTTCATTGCAAATCTGTGTTGGTATACAGTGTATTGCCTGTACAAAATATATATTTTTAATAAAAATAATATTTGTAATATTACAATGGAAGTTTTTAGCAGAATAGGAATACTGATGTTTTAATAATTCATGGCAATAAAAATAGGTATAAGACTCATACAAATGAATATAGGATTATTGTATAATATTACTAATTTCATCACACATTTTACATTAGCTTGCAAAATGAGAGAGAGACACAAGGGCTCTCTTCTGTATTATATCTGTATTCCATCTGTTTTACATTTAAAATCTGGTCTGAAAATAAAAACTAGGAACATAAGATGAGTGTCCCAGATCCATTGTTTTGGTCGTGCCCAAGCAAAATATATAATCGACTAGTTTTAAGAACACCATGTCACAAACATGAGGGAATAAACCTTGGATTTGGTCAATTAACTTCAGTGTAATGCTTCTCCTTCATACATGCCATTAATGTAAGGCGACATACTGCCAACACTTGAAGCGTGGAGCTCTTGTGGGAGTTCCACGTTAGAAGTGCTTTCAGAAAAAGGCAGCTAGAAGAGTTTGGCCCAGATTTTCTGCTGTCTATTACAAGACAGCCACAGCAGTTTACACTAGCAGAAAATGTGGCCTTTTAATCCCAATGACTTGAACAAAGCTAAATGTGGAGAGTGTTTATTTCACTCCGTAGTGGCTTTAGAACTTATAGAGCACCAGCTCATTTCCCCCCAGGAGGGATTTAAATAAACAGAGCGTTTATTTACTACGGTCCTGATGAAAAAGGCTATGAGAGACATTATCCTGATCCTTGTTAACGCACATTAAATTGCTACTTTGCTACTTTGTTTATTATACTTCAGTTATTTCTATATTCTAAAATGTAGTTCAACTGTGAATTTAAAAGGTCATTTTTAATACCTTAGTACTGGAAAATATACACACACATTCACACACAGCTCTCCATGGGCATAAAGTTTGCCATCACTATTGCAATGTTTCCTAAAGTATAGGGGACACTACCTGTACACCTCTGGTTTGTTCCCTCCAAAGCCTCAGCCTTCAATGTTCATGAAAAAGGAAGACTCTAGCTTTTTATGATATAGCAATATAAAGCAGATAGTGTATCAAATCATACAAAAATGGCCTGTTTCATCAAGCTGTCACTATCAATTTGGCCTGCAACTTCAGCAGTAAATTTCTTTTCACCACAGTGAAGTGACACTCTGTGGAAAACAACATTTTTCTGTCACTTTTACGATGAGGAGCAAGCCCCATCTGTAGCATCTGCCACAGTTCCATCATTTTACATTATAATATTAGAATTTATAATATTAGAATTACATAAAATCATTCAAAAATGTGTCCAATTTGAAAACACTGGATTAATACTTCATTTCTTAAAAGGGAAAGATTTGTATACAGGAGCCAAATGAATGTGCTAGCACCCTACTGTGCTTCTAGCATACCTAACAGGAACACTAGAAAATCTCCCCTAAAAACAGAGAGAGACAAGTAACAGGAAGTGAATCTTGTTGGTACAGTGCAAAATATTTGTTTAGCTCTTCTCAGCTAGAAGGAAGGGAGCAGCCTCACCTTGGCCGAGTGTTCCATGGTCACGACCACTTTGGTTTGTGAACTCGATACTAAGTCCATGGCGCCACCCATTCCTTTCACCATCTTACCCTAGAAGAGAATTTTAAAAGGAAAAATTAAATACCTTGCAATATTTAGTACAAGACAAACCAATTTAAAATAAGCTGGATATTTTGCTGCACAGAAATGGAATCGTTTCAGGACTGCATGATCACCAGCTTTTCTATGAAACCCCGCCCTATCTTATATGGGAAGAACTTGACTAGCTAGAACTACGATTGACAGAGTTACACTGTAGGAAACATGCAGTCAATTGTACTTCACTGTCCCATTCTGTGATCTATATGGTGTAAGTAGAAAGTTATGAATAACATATCTGTCATAGTGACTTTTGGAGTAGTTCCAATGAAGACAATGGAAATAAATCCTTTACTTGAATCACAGCTTAATCCCATGAGTAACTTTAATTTTGTAAAAAGTCTTCATGTCCTTATTTGACATGTTGAACATTGAACTCAAATGAGACTACTCTTGTTTAATGTTCAAGTCCCTTACTTAAATGGAGCCTTGGGGCACATCCATACAAGTGCGCACATGTGTTTTGCGGCACCTCGAAGACTTTTGAGGCACTGCAAAACACATCCCATGTATGCGATTCGGTTAGTCAAATTTAGATACCAGAAAATCCCAGTACAAAAAAAAAGCACGCTGAAAAAAGCAGCACAACAGACATGGTAGCAGCGTGCGCCATCTGAAACTGGAACCTGGCCAGCCCCAGAGGGGATTTGTTTTCCCATACAAATGTGAATGCAATAGTACAGTTGTGTTTCAAATAGGTTCAAAAGAATAATGGTATGTAAAAACATCACACACCTAATGAAGACATTATGTGTTATGTAATACAAATATCATTATATTACTGAAGTGTCATATCACTGTTTCTAGGATCACCATTCACATAATTAGCTATATACTTTGCTTGGACTGAAACAGAACCAGTCTCAATACAACATTAGCGGTGTAAAGTTGGATCCTAAATCTCCTGTCACTGTTTCTCACTCTTATTGGATGGGGTCATGACAGTTTATATCATATCAAGGGCCAGGCGCTCCCCAAAACATGATGTTCCAGAAAAATCACTCTTGTTCCTTTATTCTTAGGTCAGCTCACAGAGGTAGTGAAGGCTAAGGATGTGGTAGTCATGGGGGACCTGAACTTCCTGGACATCTACTGGGAAGAGCAGTCAGCCAGGTCTGACCACTCGTGTAGATTCTTAGACAGAGTGCAGGACCTCCATCTAACCCAGGAGGTGCACAGCCCCACCAGGGGAGACGCCTTGTTGGACCTAGTGCTGGCCACGGGTGATGACCTGGTGAGGGGCCTGCGGGTGCTCGACCACCTGGGCGACAGTGATCATTGCCTGTTGGAATTCACCATCCAGCGCAAGGCAGCAAAGGCATGCAGTAAGACAGCAGCCCTAGATTTCAGAAGGGCAAACTTCAACCAGCTAAGGAGGATAGCTGGGGAAGCGCTGAGGTCCCAGAGGGGAGGGGAGCCAAGTGTCCAAGGAGAGTGGTCAATCCTTAAGGAGACGATCCTCCAAGCCCAAAGGAAAGTAATCCCAACGAGGATCAAAAGGAGCAGGAGGGCACGCAAGCCTCCATGGCTCACCAAAAGCATCCGGGAATGTCTCCTTGCTAAAAAGGAGGCGTACACCCAATGAAAAGAAGGAGTCATCACCAGGGATGACTATTCTGCAGTCGCTCAGGGATGTAGGGGGGCAGTCAGGAAGGCCAAGGCAGAGATGGAATTAGAACTAGCTTCCCAGATCAAGGACAATAAGAAGTCCTTTTTTAAATACATAGGGGTAAAAAGAAGGTCCCGGGTAATGTGGGGCCCCTGCAGGACGCGTTGGGAAATTTGGTTGTCATGCCAGACGACAAAGCTAACATGTTTAACGATTTCTTTGCCTCCATCTTCCTAAGTAGGAACCAGAACAGCCACCTCCCTGCTGGGCCCCCCTCGGGCCCCAGGGGGGGCACACCTGGGCCAAGGGTTAGCGAGGAACTAGTTAGGGAGCTTCTGGTGGGACTGGATGTATTCAAGTCAGGCGGTCCAAACAATCTCCACCCTAGAGTACTAAAGGAATTGGCTGAGGTCATTGCAGGACCCCTGGCACGGCTTTACGAGCACTCG